CTATTTCCTTTCAGTAATACAAGGTGCCAACCCCTGGTTACGTTTCCTTTACATAATATAGGATAGTATGCTCTAATTCCATTAGGGTAACACAAGGTACTACCATGTGGTTGTGTATCCTCACATAGCTAGTTTATACTACTGTCTTTGTCTTTATTTCAGTAAATTAGATAGTTTATAGCTTTCTCTAATAACTCACAAAATTTTTCTACTGCCAGAGTGGGGCAGAAAAATTTTGTTCGTTTTGTTCGTCTTTGATCTGCCGTATAGCACAAATGGCGATTAAAGCTTGCAGTTTTAGTTTCTCATCAGAAAAAGAAGTCTTTCGATCACAAGATAATTGGAGTTAGCTTTGATAATGTGTCAACAACCTAGCTTCTCAAGTTTTACTTGACCAAATTTTGAGCAGGAAATCAAGCAATCGAGAATGAGCAATGACCTTTTCTTCAAAGAGCATCAAGGTCCAATCTAAGGTCCACACAGGCGAGAAAGTCAAGATTCAAGATTTTGACTCCGGAAGACACATAGATAGGAATTTTGTACTCTTAGTTTGCAGACATATATAGTGCTCTCCTCTTTTTCTTTTGATGTAAGAAGCGAGTAACAGTAACAACAACAACAACAGCAGCAGTAGTCTTAACTCCAGTGTCTGGTAGTCCCAGCTACCAAAATTTTCCAGAACTACACCGACCTGATTCCTTTATAGCCAAGAATATGTAGGCAACCTCAGAAGCAAGGTTCGGTCATTTTTTTTCAAAAAATGCTTTCATTGGAGTGATATGTGAGCAAAACTTAGCCATGAGGTTCACTTTTCTTTGCACGAAAACTCTTCATGTTCTCGAGCAAAGAGGGGCAGCTGTGAATACCTAATTTTTGCTCGCTTCTAATTCTCCTACAAATACTAATATTTTGATGATTTTTAGTTATTTGTGCACTTTTATTTGCATTCCTTTATTAAAAATATCAAGAATATTTTTTTACCTTTTATTTGTATATTTTAGTTTGCATCTTTAAATTATATATACCAAAAAGATTTTCTTTCTACTTGTATATTTTCTTTAGGACTAAATAAGATAATTAGGGGGTTAAGGGATTGGGCTAGTGTACTTTAATTGAAATTGAGCCAAATTGGCCCAAAATTAGAAGCCCAAATAGAGCTCACAAGCCCAGTCCACATGGGGCTGCCAGGGGCAGGTCCAAATGACGTAGTTTTGGATTAAAACTACGTCGTTTTGGTTAAGTGATTTCAACAATCGATCTCATCCGTCCAATTTTCTTGTTCCAATGGCCCTTATTTGATATCCCATATCAAATAAAACACCTTAAGAAATCAGATTTTTGCCATTCTCCTAACCCTAATCTTCCCTATCTCATATCTCATCTCTCTCTAACTCCTGTCTTGAGCCGCCACTTCCTCTACTGCCACCACCGTGCGCCGCCGCCGGTGGTGCTCCAAACACCACCCAACTTACACCATTCCCTTCATTTCACTACCCTATCTCCGAATCCAAGCCTCATATCCTCCAAATCTCCACCAATCTCCATAAATCTACCAAAATCCGAAAAAACCCTAGCCTCTTTTTTCCAAAATTGATGAAGTTCCACGCCCCACTTTCACATAAGACTTCCATATATGTGTATGTCTTGCTTGATTCTATCTCTTTGTGTTGGTTTTAAGTCCAAACTTCGGCGACCGAAATTCTATTATCCACCACTACCCGCCACCTCTTCCGACACCACTACTTCTCCATTTAATTTTATTTTTCGATTTAACGTCTGCCAAAAAGAAACATATGCTCCAAGGTCGGACAACCACCTCTTCACATCCCTGACATCTTCTCGTGGCTCGAATAGTGTCAAATATCCTCGATTGGTATAAACCCTGCTTCCTTTTTATCTTTTCTGATTTTTTTTGTTTGCTTTTGTAATTAGTATTAGTTTTAAGGTTTAATTTCTATTCTTGTTATTTTTATTTGTGTGCAAATGAGCTAGGGTAGTATTGGTTTTTAATTACTTGTTATTTTATAAATGTGAATTTCAGTTCTTCGACCTAGCCGGCGAGTAGTTCGTTATTGTCTGTTTGTTTTGATTCTTGGTTCTTCGACCTAGACGGTCGGCTATTTTGAGTGAATTTGTTAAGTTTGAACTTTCAGTTCTTTGACCTAGCCGGTTGAGTAATTCGTTATTGTCTGTTAGCTCTGATTTTTGGTTCTTCGACCTAGCCAGTCGACTATTTTGTGTGAATTTGTTAAGTTTGAATTTTTAGTTTTTGACCTAACCGGTCGATAGTTAAGTGTTTTATGCTAGTTTCATGAAAAAATCAAAAAGATTAGTTAAATCGTTTATTTAGTTAGTCATTCGTTAAGTTGTTATTAGTCATATGTGATAATTTAGTAATGCTCGTTTAGTTTCTGTTTCGCACAATAGTTTGTAATCTCAATCGCTTCATGTTAGTTTGCACAAATCAAATTGATTTGAATCTAGTTTGTTTGAATACTTAGTTCGGTTACCTTTTAAGTTTTGTTTCTGCTGTATCAATCCATAGTTTGGTTAGTTTGAAGGTTTGAGTGTTAAATTCAGCTATTTGTTGATAAAGATAGAGAGTACTTGAGCGTAGGGCATTTATCTATTTGCTTTTTACTGTTGCAAACTATTTGGAGTAGAATACTCCAAAATTCTGTCAATAATTGGTAAAGCAAACTGTTCATCGAACAGATTTTTGGTCAAAAATCTATCATTTTGGACAGATTTTTTGTCAAAAATCTATCATTTTGGACAGATTTTTGGCTAAAAATAAAATCTGTCCCAAAAGTCCTCTCCTCTCCTATAAAGGGAGGTCTTTCCATATCATCTGGGAGTAGTCTGAACATCCTGGACGCCCAAAAGAAGAACACAAAAATAATAGAGAGTTTGAGAGCTTTTTTGAGTATTTAGGAGAAAGGAATACCTTAAAAATACAAAGGTCTTTGATGCGAGTCTCTTGTTTCTTCTTTCCTTGAAAGTCTGTTTGAGTTTTTTTATTGAAATTTCTGGATCGGCTCGGTTTCTTTTGCTGGATACTGCTGCTGCTGTTTAAAGTGTGTTGCCGTTGGTTTCCTCGTGAGTTATTCTATTCCTAGAAGGTATTCCTTTCACCTTTTGGTGTAGCTATGGTTGTTACAAGCAATAAAATATAATCTTGGGATGTTTATGATCATTTTGGTGCTTTATGAGTATGAGTTCATGCTTACAAAAGGAATATGAATAACTTATTCCATGTATCAATATTTAAAGCTGTAAAATCCAGCTTTCACTGACCCATGCTGCTAGTTTCCCTAGAATCCTTTTAATTGTGTGCTTGTGTATAATTGTAATCTTGTTTGGATATCTTTATGTTGTTGGTATAAATAGTAATTTAAAATCTGGAATTCATCGCAATACATCAAGAATTAAAACAAGTAGTGAAGTCTTGTAGCATGATTTTTTTTCTGTTTAGTTTATTAAAGTGCTATGTTGGTGGATTAGTCTTAATATGGTTTGTGATTTGCTAATGCTATACTTTTCTAGTTAAGTTCTTTTCTGACAAGTGATATTATTCAAAAGATATCTTTGTAGAATCCATTGAATTTTAGTCAACAATAATGTGAACAATGGAAAAGTTCTAGTAATATTTTATTGACTGTTTGGCCTCACATACATTAGTGCAATGTTTGAATATTTATGTTAAGTTAATAAGTATAATTGATAGGTTTGGGGCTGAGAAATAAGATTGGAATTGAATAAATGGGCCTAACTAAATATTTTCTGCTAGGCCCATTTAGTGTTAAGCATGCCAGCAGGCCCGTTTCTAAGTAGTTTCAGCTGGCCCATTTTCCTTTCTTCTAAAAGATAAAGTAAAAATAATGATAATGATAAAAGGCAGCTGGCAAATATTTTCTGTTGGACCCATTTCATGATAAACCAACAAAGGAGCCCAATACCATTAAAGTTTTGGGAGTTAGCCTTATTTATCCAGAAGCAAGAGATATCCCAAGTCTTTAATTGTTGATTTCTTAAACCAACACCAACCACAACCCGATTCTGGTCCATAATTAAAATAATTTAATAATTTAATCGCTTTCTTCATTAATTAATTTAAGCGCTAGACAATTAGTAGGTGCGTTTTAACTCACGGAATCGCTTGTGTAGCAGATGTTTAACATTCAATCAATTAATTCAATAATCTCATATCATACCCACTAAATTTAGTTAATTTTTAACTTAGTTAATCCTTTGCTAAACTCGCGGATTCGCTTGCGTAGCGTGATAGTTGACTTTCAATAATTAATTTTCTCTAATGTAGTAAATTCTCAAAAGTACCACAAATAAATTAATTGTCATGATTTCGGATTCGCTTGCGAGGCGCAATTACGACAAGTTAATTAATTTTGTTTTCGATCACGCATTCGCTTGCGTAACGTGGTTATGACAGTGTAATATTATTCAAAAAAATTTATTCTAATAATTAAGAAATAAAAGCGGATAGGTAAAACATGAAAATCATGTAAATCACAGTTTGTCCATAATTAATTAAAGCCAAGTTTAAGCCAATAAAGCGACCGTGTTAGAACCACGTGACTCGGGGAGTTCCTTATACCTTCTCCCCGGTGAATAAAATTCTTTACCCGAACTTTATTTTCGCGGACCAATAAAATAGAGTCAAACCTTCCTTTGACTAGGGATTCAAATAAATGGTGACTTGGAATACCGAAAAATCAATTTCAAGTGGCGACTCTATAAATAAAATAATCTCTACTCAAATTTGTCACTTCGATTGGAAAAACTCTTTAACCCACAAATTCATATACATATCTTTTGCGGGTAGAAAAAGGGGTGTGACGCAACACAAATAACCATAGTTATTATTACTAGTTCAAAGGCAATAATGACTTTACAATTTAGGAGAGACCAAATTAATCTATGGTGCTGGCATTTTCACAATTAAGATTAGGGAGCAAATTTTCTAATAAAAAACAACAGTGTAACTTGCGTAGTACCTGTTAAGTTTGCCTACTAAGGCTCAAGTACATTTTATAGATTGGGAACTTGAATACTGCTATCCAGAGTCTTATACAGTTGATATTAGTAAGAATATTATGCAACATTAGTCCCTCTCTGTTGTGCAACCTATATCAAAACTGAATAGGGAAAACCAGCTAAAGGAACACCCAGTTCCCCCAAGAAACGAAGAAAGAGAAAAACGAAAACAAAAACGAGTTCACCCCCTCCAGTACACATTTACAGCTTCATAGGTACCAGATTATCATTTGGGCTAGAAAGCTTACAAATCCACCAGAGAGAGCTCTTGCACTCTCTGCTCCAGCCAATCTGAGGTAGCAGTATTTCCCTTCCACAGCTGTACCACTTCAATAGGGTCTTCAAGACAAAAATAGATAGAAGGAAGATGTACCCTGCAAATTAGAAGGAAAAATTGCAGCTTCTCGAGCCTCAGTAGCCAAAAAACACCTTCCATACCAACCACTGAAGGAGCATGTTTCCAGGAGAAACTAATAGAGCAATGTAGCTCATTGGTTTGATAATGATCACGTCACAATCTTAAATACCTTGCTCAATTGCGTCCCTGAGAGACTACTTCCTTCTGGTTTGTGAGAGTATCCTGGAACTCCAAGCGTTTAGCTGACCTGAGATCAACTACACTGGGAGGCATTGGTTGAAGGGATCCATGTAGCTTAACTAAATTAAAGAATTCCTCCTTTTGAAGACTTTTTTTCTCAACTAGTATATCAACAACTGCATCCATAAGGTTCCGGTTTCGCTCAAGGATCTGTACAGGAATTTCAGGATTACATTAATGAAAATCTGAGCAACATGCAGTTTCTTAACTAACTTTATCTTCTTCCTTTTCCGCTTAGACCAGAGGGGCAGGAAAAGGGAATGAGTCTACTGATACCTCTTTTGCACGACCATAGCACATATGTAAGATCTGTAGTGCCTCTGAGTCAATGTCCTAAAAAAGCACAATGTATTTTGGAATTCAGGTGTCACGCAGAACACATCCATATGGAAAATACAGATGGAATGCAATACCAAAGAAGTGCAACCAAAAAGCAGAGACTGGATTTTTTTTTTATTTTAGAAGCATATTTGAAACTCTAGCAACCGCATACAAATGAAGTATTCATACTTCTGGAAGGAGGAAACATATATTTTTGTTAAAATTTCAATTGCCTTTAAGCAATTGATCAATGGGGAAGGG